GGGTGTGGGTGTGGGTGTGGGTGTGGGTGTGGGTGTGGGTGTGGGTGGGTGGGTGGCACGAAGTGCAAATGCTGTGGGATTCCCTTGGACAGACACTGTCTCGAGAGCGGTCCAGCGAGGTACGAGAAATGCAATGACAAGTGCGGCAACTCGTGTGAAGCAAGCGGTGGTTTTCCGTGGGCTTGAGCAAGCGCGTCAGTCATGTACATAAAGGGTGAGACCAGACAGGGGTTAAGTAGGAAGCAAATCGAAACACAAAACTATACCATGTGCATGAAGTTGGTTTGGCCGCTACATTCACGAGTAAGGTCGTTCTTTGTAAGTCTTGACTTGTACCGAGTACTTAATGAACGCCCTATGCACACACAAAGATGAGACTACGAAGTGAGCTCACAACCTCCTGTGGACTAGGCGCGTGAAAAATCGCTCCCGCCCTCGCCCAAAGGTTGTTTTCACAGAGTGCTTGATCAGGAAAAGGCAGCAGTCGCTATCAGCGCCTCTTCATGGACTCATGGACCCTTCATAAACAATTCTTGGCTTGCGCACGCCTGCAAAGTCTTTCCACATGTGTGCAAACTTTGCTAAAGACTTGACGGCGTAATGTAGTAACGTTTCGTGGCACGCGCAGAAGTTTCTGCGTGGTGGAGGTGGCAGGCGCAGGGGATCCTGAGGTTGGGGCCTTTGGTTGGGGCGCATGCTGTTGGGCTGTGGTTTTGAAGGTCTGGGATTGCCAGGGTGCTTGGCAGGGCTGCTTGATGTTTTTGCTCTGATGAGACTTCCCGTGGAAGAAGTCTCGTACGGAACGCTTGTTTCGCAGACTTGACGTGTGGCGTGGAAGTCTTGAACGAAACGCTCGTGTTGGAGATGGACGTGTGACCTTGCAAGAGGAAGTCTCGTGCAAAATGCTCGCTTGAGATCCGGGATATACACATTGAGATACTATTCCCGTCATATTCTCCCCCAACCCCACACCATCAGCCCAGCATGCGCATCAGTCAGCCCCGGATGCCCGGCGCTGCAAAGAGCAGTTGACATGGGGCGGATCCAAGTGAGTATGATTGAGAGTTGGCCCGAAACTAGAAAAGATGGTTTTAGAATAGCTTTTTCTTCTTTAATGTAACATTTGTGAATAGCTTTTTTGAACAAACACATATTGGGTTTTGTTTCAAATAAGTACGATTTTAGATCTTTTCCGAGCCATTTTATGAAGTTTTTTCTATTTTTACGTTTTTTTGTCTCGTTGTAACAAATCATTAATAAAGGTCAATTTGTAAACAATGCGCCTTGTTTCATCAACGTTTCTCAAAAAAAGAATCGTAAACTTTTCTAAAAAAAACTTTTCAACCTATCCACGGAGAAATTTGGCCATGGCTCACAAGCAGGGTGCCATCCAAGCCCACTATTATTACGACTTCCTTACTTAATAAGCTGCAATGGCAATACAGTCAATGGGTATACTACGAGGTTCTTCTCATGGCCCGTAGTGCAAGCAATTCTGAGATCGCCAAGGCCTATTGAAAGCAAACTCAGAAGCATCACGCGGACAAGAAGTTGAATAGAAGCAGCAAGCAGAGGAAGAGTTCAAATGCATCACAGAAGTGGAAGCAGTCCGACCAGTTCGGTTGCGCGCAGCGAGGTTTAGATCCTGGTCCGGAGGACCTTCAGCAAAGACAAAACACAGAAGGCTCGTGTCGGCGTGCAGGCGGCTGCCGTTGGCCGTGCGGCAGCTATAGGTCCCAAAGCAACCTGATCTGAAAAGATCAATAGATCAATTGTTCTTAAGTAAGCCCATTTGCCGATTGAAAGCACATATTTTCAATAGAACTAATGTTTGCGCAAAAGTTGACAATCGATTTGGATGAGAGAGCAGGTGAAGAAGAATGGATGTGAAGCTGCTTTCACCTTCAGGGGGTACATGAAGCATGGCAATCCATGGATCGTTAATGACACACTTCCTGCTGGGAGTGGCTTAGGCTGCAAACGCTTAGGCGTCTGACATGCGTGCAGGAGGCTCAGATTACCTATGCCTAAAACATCACGAAGCTAGGAGAATCAGAGGCTTTGCTCCGGTAGCAACTTTGCTTGCCTCCATGCATACTACTGATGCCAGGGGCAAACACATTTTGGCTGTCTGCAAAGCTTTGGACGAGGTCTATGATTGAGACTTGGGGAGGGGCTCGAACATATTTTTCGAAATGTGTTTATGTGTTCTTTTTCTGTATTTTTTTATGCAAACTTTATATAACGCATTTATGAACCAAAAAGTATTGCTTTCTATTTTTGATTCTTTTTTGAAGCTTTTGTTATTTGTTATAAGCAAGTTTATGATTTTCATGGACACAACAAATCATACAAATGACGCAAAATATCACAAAATGCTAAGTTAAACATTCATTAAATATCATTAAACTTCATGTCTAAAATCATATCTGAAAATGCGATTTTTCTGATTTCTTTGGACCCCCAACAATTCGTAAAAAACAAAATGCATAAACATTTTGAACATGTTATGAAGAGTGATTTTACTTTTAGACAATTTTCTGACTTGGTGAAAATCAATCCTGAAAGCATTAAAATAGAAAGTGCCAATAATAGTAATCATTAAAAAGTAAAAAGAAAGTAACTCCAAAAATTGAGGACCAATTAGTTTTCATCAAAGAATCAGAAAAAATAAACAGCAATTCTTTGGCTGTCTTCCTGAGTCTCAAGTCTATGAACTTGCAGACATAAAGTAGTTTGCGTGGAAGGAAGAAACCTCCAAGATCTTCGCAGAGAAATGCAAAGCAGTTTTTGGGCTTTCCGAGGCGCTGGGCCGTCGCAGCTCTTTCAGCCGCTGGCGCAGTGGCTGGGGTTGTCAGGCCTCTTGGCATTGCTCTTCCTCTTCGCCATGGCCGTGCAGCAGTGGGGCTTCAGCGGGTCAGGAGACGGGGCCGCAGCCCTCACATTCTTGCACATTCCGCACGGCTATAGCAAAGGACTTCATGAACAAGAAGCTAACCAACCAAAAACACCATATGTTCCCACACTTTCCATCCCAGTGCCGATTTCTTGCACCAAGAGCGCGCTAGACTTATGGACCTGAATCATTCATGGGGATAGTGATTTCCATTGCACCTGCATCTGCGAAAGGCACCCTGCTTGGATGTTGTCAAAGAAAGTACTGGAGAAGTTTGACTTGGCCTTTCGCTTGCTTCTTCAAGGCCTGTGGAACCCAGGGCTGGAAGAGGTAGAAGAGGGATAGGTGGCACAAGGCCTGTATAGGTGGCTGGAGAGCCGTAGAGCCTTGTCTCAATGAGCGCAAAGGAAAAAAGAGCACAACAGCAATCCCAATGGATTTGGCGATTGATTTCCCAATTTATGCGCCGATTGATTGTTGAAGCCTGCTTTTCTTGCGTTTTTGGCTCCAAGAAGGAAAATCATGTTCAAATGGTTTCACAACTGCATGGCCCTGATGACATTGTAGAACATCCTTTGGTTCTTGTACACGGTGGGAATTGAACGAAACTGAGAAGCAACTCTTATCTTTCCAAGTGCCTCCATATCAAATCACCCCACACCCATCCATCTGCAGCGCTGAGAAGTCTTCTTTCACACCAATGTGTTTCTTTTCATTAGTTTGCCTGGGCTTCTTGCTCCTGAACCTGTGCACCCACTTACCCATATTTCCCCCAATCACTGATGCCACTTCGGCGGCAAATATGCGCATATCCATTTCACTTGGGAAGTAAAGGTGTCCCATCCTTGCCCTGCGCGCCATGTATTCCACATGTTTTTTGATGAACATATTTGAATATAGAAGAGGCCATCATTATATAAAGATATGAAAACTCCATCGATCAACCATTCAACTTAGCGCGATCACATGACATGCGAGCATGGTCGCATCTGCGAGTGACTGTGAGCGCACTGACTGAGGGAGTTTGTCCAGGGCATGCTGAACCGCGGGATCCACCGACACGTGGAGAAATACGGGTGCCTCGGCATGTGTAGGTGCAAGATGCCTGCAAAATTCCTTCTGCAAGAGCAGGGAGGCTCTGGGGTTGGATGTATATGGAGCTGAACAGATCCATATAAGCGATGTACAGTTATATAGTGACGGGTTTGTTGGTTCTTCACGAGTTCTACTGGTCTTTCATGTGTTGCAACGTTGCCACATCAAGTTCCCATATGGGTCCACCGACGCATCATGGGGAAATTTTTTGGGGTTGTCAAAGCAAATCCTAATGTGCGATGGTGTTTCAACTGTGTGGGCCGAACATCTTGTGAGTAGAAGATCTCAGAGGGTTACACCGGTCGGGATGTTTAATCAAAAGCAACCGGATAAAGGGCCAAATCAATCAGTTGCACAGGACTGACTGGCTGGCCGAAAACGATCCGTTTGCCACCCGTTCCCTGGTATAATCACGGAAATGAATGAACACTTGGCCCCGTGGATGTCCATTCCCATGATGATTTCAAGGAGTGTGACCAGGCCTCCATCGACAAACCAAACAATAGAGTTATACGTCCATAAGTTGTATAGTTCGAACACTTGGACTAAGTAGATATAAATATGCAGGCGGACCATGCCACCATACATGAAAGGGCAAAACATTTGGCGATTGTTCTGTTGAATATCGAAGCAAGTGGTTCTGGACCCTATAATAGTTGCCATCATGTTGCCATCATCATAATTTTCATGTTCGGCTTAACCTCCTTGACAACGTGTAACATGAAAATGTGCACTGTTATACCCAAAGTTTCCATGTTACGAATATCTACATGGACCTCTGTAACCACCCAATGTAGGCGAACACGCCAGACATTTGTTGCGCTTGGGATCGGATCGACAGGACACCTCAACGACCCGGCTTCGGCTAAGCCACGGTCGTGGTCAGGTGCTATGCCAACCGAGACATTCCGAAGTTGGTGCGGGAAGCGGGGCTCCACATCACCTCTGATGCTTGGCGGCACAACCCCCTACGACACGGCCCTCATATTGGCGAGACCAGCAGATATTCAGGTAGAGGTACAAAGTATTACGTTTTCTTTGGATGCAAACCATACCACTGTAGAAAGTCGATGTTCCAGTTTCGCATCCGCAGAAACCAGTTGGAGAAGTTCAGATGGATGTGTTCATGTTCCTACTCATAGGCCCGAGAAACCTCATGGTTTCTGGCCGCGAGAGCGGACGGTCCATTCTGACGGTCCATTCTGTGACTGTGTGGTGTAGTTTGAATAGTTATGTCTGAATTCTGAATCCATGAAAGTTCATTCCTTTTGAGGTTGAAACATGTTGCATTTTTGGAGTTGAAGAAGCCCAAGCAGGTTTCACTTCAGATTCCTCAGGCCCTTTCTGTTAATTCAATCCTCCGCATCCCCCCAAGGATCAGCGCTCCCATTTCGGCACCACCTATTCCTTGGTGTGCGCCAAGCATCCTCCGAAGGACCGGAGCTTCGGTGGGTGGGCCTGAAGAGGTACAGTTGAGCCCTGAAAAAAGATCCAGAGACCAGACCAGAGGCCTTCATTTTGCAGGAATGTCAATGAATCAAGGTATACCATATGGTTTTGGCGGGGGAGCGGTTGAGCACATGAGCCATTCGACTCATGGTCAAGAGACGTGGTTTTCCTTTCGGGGTGTCTGCAAAAACCATGCCCTGCCGCACAGGACGCGGCCTGCTGGTTTCAGCATCGCATCTGACCGGTATCGTCATTCGACCGTTTGGGGATGTGACGGGTTGGCCACCTTCAGTCTAGTAAGTACTGAACTTGACGAAAGGGCACAACGACCGGTACATCTGTTTGCACAGCGACCGGTACGCCGCGGGTTGCGCTGCCTTGCCTTTCTTTGCACTCCATGATTGACCAGCATGTTCCTGCAGTGCTTGCAATGTGAGGTGGTTTCGACCCGTGGTGTCTACCTTCCCAGAGACTCAAGATCACTGAATATATATACGTTTTTTAAAAAACGCAGCTCCTCTGGCTGGTCCCTTGATGTTGCGGAAGTAATCGGAACCGGGGCCACTCTCAACGGTCGCTACATACCGTGGGTCTGACGAGTCCGTGGGACTTTGGCTCACTAGCTCGATGTACGGTAAGCACTGTGGCTCTGGGACCGAAAGCAAACGCATTGTGGCAAATGGGTAAATCACTTGCTACATCACAGCTGTTCGGAGTTGTCAGTGTCTCAGCTGGAAGCGAAATCAGTTGACTTCTTTTACGCTCACCGAAAGAGGAGGAAGAGGAAGAGTAGTGAGTAGCGGCGTAGCGGCAGCCTTCATAGCTGGCTCCGAAGCAATGAAAAAATAGCTGCATTCTGTAGATGAAACGTTTGTGTTGCGCTGTTGAAGCTGACTTCTCAGCCAAAGACCAAGCTGACTTCTCGTTTCTTCGTATAAAAGATGCCAGTGACGTGAGTTTGGGAGAGTGTGACTTCGAGCGGAAGCATTGTTCAAATCACAAGACTTGGGAAGGTCAACGCCTCCAAAGCTTATCAGAGGTTGAACTCCTTTTCAATTCCAGGGACTTCTCAGTGACGTAGTTGAGCCTTTGTGAAGGCACCTCTCGCAAAGTGAAAATCCGCGGTAGCCTTGACCGAGAGATGGTTCAAAGACAGAAACTATGTTGAAGACATCGGACTTGGGATGGTAGTCATCGGACCTGGTGCTCTCTCCCAACATCGAAGTGGCCCTGGCAGGACGACCCTCCAATCTCAGTGCCATGGCTAGAGCTTCATGATCATGTTGACATGTTGACTTGCAAAGATCTTGTACATTACAGTACAAGTTGAAACGGCAGAGCTAGCCTTGAGCTTTCTACAGACTGATCGACGTTGACACAGGACCTTCATTAAGTTTGTCATAGAAGACTTTTGCTTTTTTTTGCCAGTGACGTGCTAGCTGCTAATGACTTAGTGGCCTCCACCCTCAACTCCCTTTCCTTCTATAGTTCTTTTAGGCGACAAAATGCCCCTCAGTCAGCTGAATTCAGCTTTGACCAGCTCAGATTGCTGATCAACTTTGCACCGGATTGTTTGCCGCGTTTGGCTCGGATGGATCAAGTCATCAAATTTTCCCTCAACTACAGACAGGAGAGTTTTCCAATTTTTCCAATATAATTGTCCAAGTTTTTGTTGCACTGCTTGATCACGAAACACTCTGCGTCTTTCAGCTGGAGGTCGAAGCAAGGAAGATGTTTGCACTCGGTTGCGTAAACAAGGACAGAGAGATGCATATCAATGCCATCCACTGATGAATGATGCATGCACCCAGAGTAGTGAGAACTGGAGGCTCGACTCATCTGGATCTTCGCATCACAAAAGCACCACGGTGGCCCTGCAACACGGCGCGGCGACACCGTGCCTTTTCCGACACGGTGGACCCCGTGGGGAGCCCATGCATGTTGTCGGTTGGCAGGTGGTTTCAACAGGAAGACCGCAAGCAACGACCTACCGTAGATACCAAGGGCATCGTTACTAGTAACAAGGACACTACTAGCAAGAAGCTACGAACGTAGTAGCTAAGGCTTAGACCCTTCAAGTCACGTGATGTGGACCGTGTGTGCGTTTAGGCCATGATCTTCCAGATCTTAGGGGGTCCGACGGCTGGATCTTCTGTTGGGGTCCAGCGGTCACAGCTTGGTGCAGTTTGACATCGTTCAGCGGGAAACACCTGCTGTTTGGCGGATTTACCTGGACCTAGACGGAGGATACTGAGAGAAGAAATAGACCCTTCCATAGACTTGATGCCTTTCAGAAGAGCATCATATAATGTCCAACACATACACAATACATTTTTTTCTGAACACGGCACATGCAAAGACTTAACTTTCCGCAGGTCAACGGGGATCCTCAAAGCATCACCTGACTCATGTTGGAATACAAAGTCAGCTTTCTCTTTTGAATACAACATCAATTTCAATATATACCCTACACTTCAAAGTTGAAGTTTAACTTTGTCTTTGCCAAATACTATTTGGACATGTAGGGTATATATACGTTGCTTTTCGGGGTTTGGGGACCGTGCGCGACGTGCGCGGCTCCGGACCGTCCGGTGCGCCGCTCCGTGGACCGTCTCGAGGTTGACCGTCTCCGCAGATTGCTCCGATGCCGCGGCAGGCGGTTCGGGGCATGACATTTCGCACCATCCAAAGGCCATGGGGGTTGTGTTTTGGACACGGTTTAATCAGGGAAGACCGGTTTAGTTGCCCCGATTTAGTGCCGGAAGGACATGTTTTGGGGGTTTGTGTTTCAGCAAAGAGTGGCGACGACGTCCTTGTCGCGTCGCGACGTCCCCGACTCCTCGGGCAGAGTGACAGTCGATGGCCGACTGGCGACAGATCGTGAGTCCGCAGCTGACTGATTTGGTAGGAACACTGGTTTTGTGGGTAGCAGGTTTTGTCATTCTCCAAGATAGTGGCAGTCTGATCCGGTGTGTTATTGAATAGCATTTCTTGTGCTGGGCGATGTGTTTTTTCCGATTTATCTTAAGATGTTTCGTTTGGAGTTTCCAGAGTTTGTGCCCGAATGGGTGTCGAGTCTCACCAGTTTGCTGCTGCCTGTCCACCGCACAGGTATCTTTTACCGTGAAGTGTGCCGACACCCGGGTGGGCTTGCATGTGCGTGTGGTAGGCACCTGGGTCCCGCGGGCGTGGATCCCGGTGGCAGCGGAGAGCCGGTGGCGGGGAAGGTGATCCAAAACGAAGAGTGAAGAAGTTGAGAAGATCGAATCAGCTCATTTGTGATGTGTGAGATGCTTACATTCCGGAAAAATGGAGCAGTGTTACATGGTGATTGCTCCAGTAGTTCTCTTGGTTGCTCACGTGTGCTTTCTCTGGTGTTGTGCTGTTGTCGCTTCGCTGGTCCGGCCACAAAAGAGGCGACAAAACATTTGCGCAGATAAAGGTCACACAAGGTCACACAAGTTCCCAAGTTCACTCATGGGGAATCACATGTTTACAACAATCATAAGAGAGTCTTTTGAAGAAGACATGTTACATGTTGAACCATCAGGAACCATCAGGAACCAAAAGCCACTCCAAAACACACGTTCGGGGAAACCAACAAACGTCAGTTTGGGTAAAACAAGACCCCCAAACCGCCAAAACCACCTAACATCTTCAAAACCAGCCTTACCACCTAACAACCACCTAACATCTTGCGCATCTTCAGCTTGTTCGTCCGTATGTTCAACTCGTTCGGCGCCGGTGCCAGGCAGCGTGCCCGCACTGGGTGAGTGGGACCCACACCGAGGCAACCGGGGTCTCGACCAGGTCTCGACCGGTGATGGGATGAGGACAGCAGTGGAAGACGTTTTGCTCCATTCGTTGGTTGTATACGGCAGACCAGATGGAGAGCTATGAGTTTCAACAAAGGCATGTGGACTTGGCCAAGTCCGACCATTTTTTTGGCAGGTTTGCCTGAGAATTGCCACATCTCATGTCCGACACCTAGCTAATCTAAATATATTCAATGATCCTTTCCCTTAAGAGATATTGTTCTCCCCATGTCACCCGGTTCTTCCAAAAGCGTAGGCCTCGCTTAGCACCGGTGGAGGCCTGGTGCTCAGCACCTCTGCGAGCGATTTTCCCAATTGGAAGCAGACGGAGCCCTCGCCGCTGGAGGAGGCGACGGCGTACCGCGCGGAGCCGGCGGAGCCGGAGCCGATCGGTGGGTCGGTGGAAACCGGAAGAACTAATTTCAGAGTCAAACGGAAGGGTAGTGCACAGAAAGGGTCTTGCAAAAACCTATTCTACGAACATCGTGGAAGGCACGGGACATTCGTAGAACCCAAGGCTATTCGTGGACAGTTCGTGGACTGGTGGGCCAGTCGGAGAACTGACTGCAACGAAATCCCAGAAACCTTCGCAGAACTTCGTGGAAGGTATTTTTGATGCACTAACTTCGTATAAGTGATTTTTGCTGACCCCCTTTCTCCACACACCCTCCATTTAGCCTTCATAATTCGAAGTGACGCCTGGGGGAGAGAGACCCCGAGAGCTGTAGAGCTGTACATGTGTGACTCACGGCGGATGCGCCGGGCTCCGAGCCAGTTGTAATCGAGCCTCAGGCTTTTAACTGCTAGTCTACTGGGTCAGAATCGGTCAGAATGTGTGGAAAGTCAAATTCCCTACAACAAGCACAAGTTGTATGGTAAACTCAGCAAATCAGCCTGGTGATAGGCTTTGTATCGGGTATGTGAATGAGGAGCCTGGGAACCCATTGATTGTGATTGACAGCAAGCTCCAAAATACTCAATGCTGACATCATGATGATGTTGTTGCTGTTGGTTTTTGTTTCTTTTGATTGCTATCTTTTGTCATGTCCTTATTGGCTGGAGTTCCTTCATCAGTCGGTTCATTACAGTAGGTTGTATTATCTACTCGTAGTGTGTTTGCTACAGTTGTGAACCTGCGGCCATGGTGACCAGGTTTGGAACTCAAAGTCTCCAAGTTCAGTTTGTGTCGTTGACAAAGTAAAACATCCAACATGGAACTGTGTCGGGCAAAGGGTTGGATCAATTCAGCCAGTCATGGTCCATCTACTGTAGTCAAGCAGTGGCTGAAGTACATCATGCTGCAGGGCTGTTCAAATTGAGCTCTTGCGCGCGAGGTGTTTTTTGCTTGATATCAATGGACAGTGGACATGACACAATCTTGCTTGCCCACATTTAACGTTCTTCTGGACAAACAATTTGGGCATGACTTGGGCTTTCCATGTTGGAAAGGGTGTTTGCATTGGTGGGGACTACTACAAAAGGATGGGGCATAGGTGGAATGTGTGTTGTTCCCTCAGTCGTAAACCATGAAAAGATGTTTTGTTTGATCCAATTTGACAAAATTGATCGAAACATAGGATACTAAGTGTTTTGCAATTTGTTATGCCTCTTGCTAGTTTGAAGACCGCACAGAGATGAGCGATGAGAAGACGAGGGATGCAACTTGAGCATTGGTGGATGTTCTATTCGGACTTCCTTTGCCAAGGGGAAAGTCGTGGAGTACAAATATGTCATCTGCGACAACAGCGGCAGCGGTGTCGGGAGACTCAGGAGGCGGTGTCGAATCTTAAGCGAGTAGGATCCAAAGCTGTGCATGTGGTTTTGTTGTGTTCCCAGGCTCACCGGATCAGCATCATGGAAAAGAACAACAACAAACAAATATCAAGAGGGTATGTTTTCTTCAGGATACTTACCATCACCTCAAATCAATACCAAGTCCCTTGTAAACGACTGAGTTGTCGTGTCGGATTGCTTTGAGACTGTTTGTCAGTGTTGCCAGCCATGTTCGGTCACACCAGACACATGAGGCATATTGAGGCATGGTGCTGATTAAGTTCTTCCTTTAGCGGGATTGAGTGATCATGTTGGTGAGTGCAAACATTTCGTTGTCCATCTCCAGGTCAGTCAAAAGTTGGAAATGAACAGGTTGATCATGGAGCTGAGCTTACCTGACTCTACAGGTCTTTGTTGGATGTGGAGACAGGTTCTCTCAGCGCATGACAGTTCTTTATTTGACAAGTCTCAGCGCTGATCCAAGTGAGGAATGAGAACAAGTGCAGGAGTGATCCACAACAAGTGTGTCAGCGCTGATGTCAGCGGATCAGTGGGGAATGATGCAACATCTCATGGGTATATCTAGGGTCTGTCCAATTAATAGCAATCAGTAAAAGGTTATCGCTATTTTTGGGGAATTGCTTTTACTAACCATCATCCACAGTTGCTGGTCATGGGATGTACCCGGTACCCTACAGTCCTACAGTATCTGCTGCCCCCTTGTGTGTTCCCGTGGACCGTGAACCGTCCGCACCACATGGAACGAACACCGGCAACCTCCGCTCGCGCTGAGTTCCGATGGGAGGAGCGAACAAATCGCTCGATTCACATTGCCGAGCTGGGCCTGGGATCGCAGAGGGAGTCTGAGCGGGGGGGGCCGATCGAAACACATATGGCAAAGCATAGAACACCTATACATGATAGATTCCTGTATATGCACATAGAAACCATGAGTAGTGGAGCTTTTTTGGTAGACTCCGGGCCCAATGGAGGGCCGGAAGGGGGCGATTCCAAACTTTGAGACATGTTCCGCTACACCAAACAGCGGGTGATGGTCAATGTTGAATGGTGGTGTCCAGAGTCGTGGCTCGATGGGGGTCTTCAGTGTATTCTGGATGAACTAGTTTGTCAAAAACGTCTGTGCCCATGGATGGAGAGAGATGGTCCTCGCAGGTCCAGGACATCAGGTTGTGCGAGTCTTTGAGATAGGGCACAACTGGTTGTGCCGTCAGCAGGAAGCATTGGGATATGGGATTCGAGACGGGCAGAGACGGGGCCATCATGGTGGTATTTGAAGGTCTTCCTTGTTGCGGGCAGCGTTCGGCTGAATTACATCACACCACTCTGTGTTGCAAGGAAGTCGGAGGCAAATCATTTGTGGAGGACGAATCCCTTGAAATGGAAAGACGGACACAATCAGTAGACCGACCTGGACAAACTCAATAGACCGACCGACGCGAACTGTTCACTCAGTAGACCGACCTTGAGCATAAAAGGAAACCACTCCAGAAACCTTGAGCACCAGGAATCCTCAGCTAGACATTTACCACTCCAAGGGATCCCGTTGGAGTCATTGGAGTTGTGGCGAATTCACCAGTGGATGTTTTTCGCCGGTGTAGATGATCTAAACAGGATCTAAGTCCATGTGGATTTCTTCGATTTGCCCCGGGCCGCCCAGTGCAACGAGAAGTGGTGCCTCCCAATGGCACCATCTCCGTCATTGAGGCCGACAAAGGGAGGGCAGTGATCGAGTGGGATGACTGGAGCATTCATTCCGCATCATTGTCAGTATAGATCACCACCTGAAAAGGAAAAGATTTAAACAAATAAAGGAACAGGAGATTAGATCCATTTCTGGCAAAGGATGCATGGATACCACGATTTTGTTCAATGGAGACATATATAACCATCTATAACCTACAGTATCTTTCCCGGTTTTGTTTATCAGGCTTCCATGTCATAGTTGATCTTTCAGACGACATGTCTTGTCAACATTCCATGTTCCCTCGACTTCCGCGCATCCGACGGTCTGCGTGCGGCGATCTGCGCCAGAACTTTGTAGCCTACGACCCGGACGAGATCCGATTCAGGTGCGGGGCAGGAAGCGGAAAACGGGCTTCACTTAGCTCTGAGCTCTGAGAGTCCTGTTTTTTTGCTTGACAGGAATCAGCAATTGAGAAATCCAAGGTCCTCAGGAACATCCTAGTGACAGCTCTCTGACTTATCACTAGTTCCCAGAACCATCAGAATCATATCTGTCTACACGTGACGACTCCGTGGTTCATGTGGACATGCAACTTGAATCCCATAGTCCACCCATCCGTGTCGTCCGTCACTCCGGTGGGTCGCTGGGTCTTTTGGCAGGGCAGAGTCCAAGAACACTATCCTTTGAGTCCCTACCTATGATTCCCATGCAGAGGAAAATCTTCGAAATCATGGAGAAGACGGACTTCCTTTAGGATTTAACCCTGAAGAGAATGATCCCCTCATTCCAAAATTAGATGCAAAACCTTCCAGAAAGCCAAATTTCGCTCGCGTCTGCACCCACAGGGCACGGGTGGGTTTGTTGCGTGCGTTCTGTCTATACCTTCTGTCTATATCTTTCCCAGGCCGGTGCGTGCAGGGGGCTTGGCCGGGGATCCCAAAACATGTCTTGGGCTTCGGACGTCGATGGGACGCCTGGCATTTACGATGTGGGCTGAACAAGAGGCCGAGATTGCTACGGCGACGTCCTCGGCCCCGTGACTGGAGTAACTGGAGGCTGTTGCAACACATTGCACGTTGTGACATAAGCACGGTCATCAAAAAGTGATTCTAATTCTCACGGAATGTTTGCTGCAATGACAAGAAAACGAAGAAGAAAACAACAAGAACTGGTCAGGATGCTGCCGCACCAGCTTCGTATCCAACAGACCTTAGTCACGCCATGTCACACCTATTTTGGCTCGACCTGATCATTACTGGGGATGGGCGCCTCCCAAGGATTTAATGTTTCATTCATTTGCCCACGCTGGTGTGGCGTTTTGCTCCAGTTTTCTCCCAGGATCGTGTCAGATCATCCTCATCCAGATTGCAGTCAAGGCAGTCCACGTCGGATGGGTTGAGCCTGTCAATCGTTGACGCCTCCAGAGGTTAAGAGTCGACAGCAGACACTATGTTCATGAAAAATTGTTCCATTAAAACCCAGGTTGTTTGTTCAACCCCCATCATACCATGGGGACGTGTGGCCGCCCTCAAACAAAATCCAGGACGTTGACGTCTCACCGTGACCCAGCCGCTACGGAGGTCTTTGTTCTCGTGTCTTCCTGTCTCTGTACGGAGGTGCACTGAGTGCACTGCACCTGTAGGCCTTTTGAGGGGTGAGAATTGTTTCATGAGAAAACATCGAAAGTTGTTTAGAGGACCTCAATCTACCTCATTGAGATCTAGCTGCGAATCTAGCTGCCCAAGGAAGAAACACACACACGAAAGCCAAGCTGGCGAGGGTGCTTCAAAATCAGTTTTGGGTGCTTCCAGGATCTTTGGACAGATGGACAAATGTCAATCGCCCCAAAGAGTCGGGAAAAGGCTTTGAAAACCGCGCAGAGGATCTTGATAAAGATGGGAATCGTTCCAATTTGGTTCAGATGAATCCAGGACGGTGGAGCCCCATGTCTTGGGGGTCATCGGTCCTCATGGCGGTCGTCGGAATAACAAAGAACTCACTCGCAGGCAGGGCAGCCAGATCATGCACGAGCATTCAGGAGGTTATGGAGGCGGGTGCCGACGGCCGTGACTGTCACCATGAGTCCCTTCGAGACGGGTCAACCGGTAACTGTGGATGGATTGAATCGTTCTTCCATGTTCTTCCCCGGTTCGACTGCTTGGGACTCCCCACTCCACCCCAAGCGGTGTCTTTGTCCAACCAAACCTGGCTTTCTCAGCTCATCTCCGACTCTCTCTCTCCTCTCTCTCTTTGTGCTGATCCGCTGATCCGTGACCGCTTAACCGGCCGTGACACCAGGTGATCCCTTGGGACTCGCGCTCCGGCTAGACCGCCAGGTGGGATGGGCATCAACTCGACCTCCTTGTCGGACCTGCTGGCACCCACCATCCGCGAGCGCAAGTCGCTCGCTCGGACAACGGCGAGGGGCAAGTTCGGTTGCTGCAGAAGGTTTCTCAGATTCATGAACATTGAGGCGTATTGGGTTCTGACGTGGAGAGATACTCCCCAATGACTTCAATGGCCAGTTCCAGTCGTTCAAGGGTATTTTGAGGCCCATCATAACACTTTTTGAGAAGGAAGCAACATAGGATCGTTTCATATTTGTTAAATGCTCATTTCGCCCATTCCTCGCTGCCACATTGGGGCTCAGCCCGTGCGAGCGCCATCCGCGCGGCCCGTGCGCATGTTTCGGCTGCTCCTGCTCAGCTTGCTCAGCTGCCGTGGGATCCGTGGAGGAGCCGGGAAAAACGCGTTCGCAGCAGTTGGACACACCAGAGGAGCGTTAGTGGACACACTAAAGAGGGAGCAGGGTTGAAGGTGTTTTTGGTGGACGAATCGTTTTGTGATTCAGGCTTAATTATAAGATTGAGTCGTTGAATTTGTTGCTTCACAAAGAAGAAGAATCGGCCAGAGTGGGTCGTACTTAGTCTTCGCAGTCCTGAAGTAACTGAAAGAGAGCCGTGACTCTGGTCCGATGTTTACACTTTACAAGCAGGTCACTGTAACACACAGGAGCCTTGTCAGTGTGAGTGTGTAACGATAGCAATAGCAGCAACACATGCAGCAACACATTGTGTTCAATCAAGACTCGTAGACCACAAGAGACTTGGATGTTCGGTGAAGCCCTTCTCTCATTGTTCAGATGAAGATGTTTTGGCTCTTCTCCGGCCAGACTCAATATGCACCACATGGCAAAATTCTGCCTACACCAAAATCGCCCTGGGCAATGTTACAGGCTCGGGAATGCTTCTTGGGTTGGTGTTCTGCTTTCTTCAGGAAGATAGTGTCTTCCCCTTTTCCCGGTAACTGCTGTTATTTTGTTTATGTTCAACCCCTTGGGGATGATTGGACCCTTTGACATGTTTCTTCTGTGGGTTGAACACACCAACTAGTTTTGCACTTGGGCTCATAGATCTCTCATACGAGCCATCAGCAGACCGTTCCACTGCCATTCCGAGAGATGTAGAGGGTTCGGTTCAGAGACCTTCCGTAAATAGCTAGGGTCTGAGATCGGTAAAATGCTCCTAGAACATTGGAACATTAACTGGTTTCTTGTGGGTTTGGGGTTTGGTGATACACTCTCACAACCAGACTCACGGAACACTCTCTTCTAAATAGTAATTCAGTTCAGAACCACTGACAAATTTGCTTGCCAGAAACTGCAACACAGCTTCTTTGAGTTCTTGTGGGAGTTGTACAGGACTTGGCCCCAGATTTTCGCTCCAGATGGAACAGCCATTGTCATTTCTACAGCTAAGAACCGCACACGGTGTCCATCCAAGCGACGGTAATTGCCGAACGGTGCTGGAGTACCACATGACGAAGACTGCGGTGTCGGTTGATCGGAAGGTGCTGACTGTGGGAGGGACAAGCGAAAAGGACAACCCACAAAAGTGTTTTGGTTCCGACTGGTTGATTTAAAATAATGCACCACCTCAAAACCATTGCTTGATATATTTCGTAGAGTTCAGGGATTTACTTCCCACAAGCAGGTTCAGGAGAACGAGCACCGTTCCAGTACTGTCAATGTATACCGGCACAGCTTGCCATCGCAGAGACGACCTGGCCAGCGAACGGCTAAGCTTCAGATTCAACCTTTAGATGCGCGTCGGATTTGGAAGAATATACCTGATCTTAAACTAAAGCAGATTGAAGGGGGTCAGAGTACTATTGACGCTCAACCCTGATGAACCCTTTCGTCTTCATTTAACTCCTTGGCCTTTCAGGCCCTGGAAGTGCTAACGACCACGTGTCCTGTCTCTACGGGCAGAAGGAGGCCCCAGGCCACTCAACTTGACCGTGGGATTTGTAGGGCCTGGCCGAGTCAACTTGATGCGGGCATGAGAACCAGCTTGTGGTCGCAATGATTGTGTTGATTATGTGTGTGTTTGTGTGTGTGTGTGTGTGAGTCACAGGGGGACTTCCTTTGGTTTGAGATGGTGGACGATGTTCTTCCAAAGTTTCCATTTTTGTGTGATCAATCCACGCTCCACGGCCAAGTTCATATTGACAGCTGCAGCTTTCCTTGGACTGGGGAGGCATGCTGGCCTGCAAGAAAATCTGGACACGTCAGAGTGCCATTCTGGGTTGGTACAGGAAAGATGTTTCTTCTAGAGTCTAGAGCGCTCCAACCCCCAACCATAGCCAAAGTCTTTGTGACAAAGCCCTGGGTTTCTCTACCCACCACCCGGCTTGTCGCAGGCACTGAATGTGGAGAATCTCGCAGCGGCGCAGCTGAAGAGAACGAGTGGCTTGGCCAGGGATGGGTTGGACTGAAGTTCCTCCGCACCAGGTGAGCAGTCTTTGCTGATCGCCGCTTTGTTGGTTTATGAACATCCAATGGTGAAGATATGGGAAGATCGAACTCGGTCCGGTCCGATCCCATCCGATCGTCACTGGGGCTGGAAGAGGTACCTACATGAAGTGATCCTAAAACGTCTTAGAACCACGGCCAATGTCAGTTAACTATAATATAAGATATAATTATATAAGCAAATATGATATATTCCATGAATGGATTCTCTGAGTGAGTGTCAGATAATTGGCAGGGGCATTGCGAAATGCTACGGTCGTTGCCTACCTTGGGACCTCAAAGTACGTGCCTCCACGGACATCATGGGCCATGGGACTTTGCGTCCTTGCGTTGGCAAGCTGATCTGAGGTGCATTTGTGTGAGCGCAGAGGAAGCCCATGAGGCCATGGAAGGCGCCGGTCCGGAGCGGAGCCGGTCGCGGAGCCGTGTTTCGGGACTCGTGTCGTCGGGACTCGTTGGAGCTCGGAGGGGGTTGTCGGCGGGCGGCAGAAAGAAAGGGCGGTGAGCATCGGGATCTTGGGATTGCGATCGGTTTGTAGGAAGGCTTTAGGGTTATGTATGTTCAATGTATTTTTTTCAATAAGTCTCTTTTCAAGCACAATCTACTGAAAGTCTAGCGAGTCTAGCGGTCATGGGTGCTTGGCCTCGGTTTGCGCCTCATTTTTGGGCGCCTGAGATGTTTTCCTGCTCGTCCCAGGTTGGAGAACGGTGTGCCTGATCTTGTCCATCGTGTTTCTGCTGTTAGCCGCCACTTGAAGTGGGCGAAGTGGAGATTGGATGTCCGGGATCCGGAAATGGGAGAAGGAGGGAAAAAAGGAAACAGCAATAAGCCAGCAGTTTGTTCAAGTTGGCTTTTAAAAGGTGTTCCATCTAAGCAGTTCTTTTGTCTTCAGGAAAGCTGATGGCCAATCTGCGAAGCTTCAGATTTTCCTGTTGCGAGAGTGAAACTAAGACAGAGGATCGAGCAACCTGGATAGAGGCTTCTAAAGCTTCTACTGGAACCGATTATGGATCTAGATAGGGTCTGTCCCACTATGTAACAGTCGGTAAACAACTATCACGATTTTGTGAACAAGGCCTTCACTAACCATCATCATCCGCTGTTGCTCGTGATGGGATATACCCAAGATAGTACCCAAGATATATAGAACTTAGACCATTTGAGTGACTCAGTGACATATCTACTGAACGCTGGCAGAGTCGCCTGCACAATCCTGAGTCACCTGCGCAACGCACTGCCTGGAGTCTTCTTGGTGTTGCATATGCTAGGAGATGAGACGAGCCTGGTGTCGTTCTTCAGAATTAAAGTTGGACTTACCAGGCAAATTTGTTGCAGTATATTCGTACCCGTGATTTTCCCACCGACTCTTTTTTCCTTCAACGTTGTATTGTATTCCTCTCCCGTGAGCGATGCAGAGATCTTCTACACCAGTCGGCCCTTGAGGGGTTGCTTCGCGTCACGTCTGTGGATTGAGGCGATCACAGCTGTGATCTGCGTGGTTGGACGTGGGCCCATCGAAAGATGCTGCAAGCATTTCAATGACAAACATCCTTGCAAGGTGGCAGATTGGGACAATATGAGGCGATGTGAAGCCGAGCCGTATGAAACGTCCTATTGGTCTTTGATGTTGAACCCCAAATGTAGGTCATCGGCGATTTCGACCTTTAGCAGGGGTCCAGCGGCGCCACACCACCTTTGAAATTGTGTTTGACGGGACCAGAATGGGGTGTCAATAGATGAACTGCCACTGCTGATATCGAAGCATTGACTCATATTGAGTTCCAAAACACGGCTTCATGAATCAAGGAGGTACTTGTTCTTCTGCGAAGCAATTCAGCCGAGTTCTTTCGTGAACCCAGGAGGGTTTATGATAAGTGCTATCGGCCACCAAACCCACCAAGAAGCATAGATTAAAAAAGTACATATATATATAATATATACATATATATAGAGTGTAGCGCATGTTTGTATGTTTGATCGCTTAGAGTGCCCATTATGGCTTGTATTCGTAGACTGTATTCTCACCCTGTTCAAATAGACCTATATTTTAATTTTAGGAAGCTGACAGTGTCAGGACGTTTGCATAGGACCGGAGGAGAACCCCCAGTTTCGTTGGTCACATTGTTCACACATGTTTCTGGCATACATATTATTTTGTCATTTGCGCACAACTGACTGAAGACAAGCCAATCGAACTCCGCCTTTGGCGCCTAGCGTTGGCACGCAGGGCCTGCTGCATTTTTTGGCGAATGGTTTGGCCGGTGCCTCTTCTGCAGATCGGGTCGAGTCATGCCCCTTCCCAGCTTCCCCACATCGGAGACAAGGGCCCTGAATCAGTCTAGATGGGACCTTGATGATCAGCTCCGTCTGTGCTCAGTGCGACCTGCAGTGGTCAAGGCTAGCCTCGATGATATCAAAAAAACGTACCTGTAATTGGTTTGGAAGTGTCAGCATTTGGCAGCGCTGATAGCTTGCTGATAGCATTTGCAAGAAAAAACAGCGAAAAGAGTCAGGTTCATGCAGCATAGGCTTTTTTCAGCCAACCCAACATGAGTGGTATGTGGGGTCTTTGATCAAGATGTTTACGCCCCCGTTCCTTGTCAAAACACTCGAAAGGAGGACCCATGATTCAGAAGTCCAGTGCTGCACCCGGTGGGATATATAATACAATGTATACAGATGTATACAGTATAATGTAAACCGAGTGGCGCCGAATGGGAAGCCTTTGATTGCATCACATGTCTTAAAGCGGTTTTTCTGTTTTGCGCCAGAGCTGCAAACACAACACGATGGAGTTTGGTGCCAACACGAAGCCAACCTCCCAGGTCATTGCGATGACGGGTATTGGTGTGCTCTGGCTGGTGCTGCATTTAATGTCTCCCCAGCCGGACGAAGACTATTGGTACGGCTGTGGCGAATCCTGAGGCAACGCAAAGTCGCTTCGGATGTATGTTGATGTGTGAATAAAAACATGACAGGGGGCACGGAAGAAGAGTTGGCCAGAGTTAAAGCATAGGCATAGGCAAACGCATCAAGAAACGTGTTATACCAGGTCGAAGTTTGGGGGGAATCAACTCTATTTGCAAACCCCACTGAACAAAGATATGTAATTCCAAGCAGTTTGACAAAGGCCGACATTTTGGCGAACCAGATATGCCTCACAGTTACCAGAGCTTCAAAGAACCCTTCACCAACCTTCTTGCGGAAGCCTCCCTTCAGAAGCCCTCACATGATGTTTCATCGACCTGGTGGAAGTCCCCATTCCAGAATTTCTTTTGGGGTGATCCATGGGTTGGGTCAGATACCAGCTTTGCTTTTGGGCGATTGACGGAGATTTTATGAGATTTCAGACCACGAGAACGGCGTCGGGTCAACACGAGAACAACGCGGCGCCCCCATGTTAACCTAACCTGTATTTTAACCGGGAAGCTGAGAGAGTGAGGATGAGTAGACATGCTTGCTTGGGCCCTGCTTCTGGGTGGCCACAACAAAAGTTACCTGAACGCTCGCCCCTTTCAGTGAGTGATTCGGGCAAGCTCCGCCTGTCAGAAGTACTTCTCCCGTGCGAACCCAGCATCAAGCTCCACCCGGTTCCGCTCGGTTTCTGCCAGTTTCGTGCAGCAGAACGTCCGCCTCCACCCGCTGAGCTCGGCACTCGAAGAGCTTGAGCTGTTTGCGCTTTCGACAACGCCTGAGAGTGCCGGGAGGGCCCGGTGTTTTGTCGGGTCGGCACGCGGAGACTGTCACTGTTGGTAGTTTTAGGAGGCAAGGGGTGGAAGCTTCCACCGAAGGGTGGTGCTGAACCCGTTGCCAGCATGGAAAGGGTTCATGGCTAGCATTGTGTTTCAATCGCCAGAGCTGGTTGAGAACTCAATGCCAAAAAGAAGAGGTTCGGAGTGGCTGCTTGTAGGCCTTGCAGTTCACCGATGTGTTGTGTCGGGGGTCCGGAGTTCCATGGCCTCTCCATGAGGTGGCAAGGTGTTTTGTTGAGACTGAACCGCCTCGAACCCTTGCGCTGTTTCACGCCTGTGCACTGAGCCGGTGCACTGAGCCGGGATCGTCCATGTCCTCGGTCCATGACCCGTTTTCCTCCGCGACTCGTTCGCGAAGCGCGAGATGTGTTGGATACCCGGCGCCAGTTGGGTGCCAGTCATTTGCTGTCGGCGGTTGGTCCGACCTAACACCGAAAAAGTGCGGTGCCTGCGGGATGATGGGGGCGCTGGGCCTGGGGGACGAGAGATGCAGGGATTCCATGTGGCCAGTTAACGATCTATACCACAAAAGACGTGTTTTTTTATTGGGGGGGTTACCACTGACTCACCATAGAGGTAACTAGGTCCGCTAAGAAAACCTCGTGTGAGTTCAAGTGTGGGACGCACATGAAACGATTGGAACCCGAACTTGTACAGCATGACTGCTTTTTGACATAGTTGTTTCTGCTTCTGGGTCTGGTTGTGGGTCTGCTAGAGGGACAGTTGGATATGAACTCGAGTCGGTCGATGTCTTTGGTCAGAAAGCGCTCATTTTGGTTGACCAAAGTGCTTTCAACACAATGTACAAGGTATTGTTGACTGCTGTGCTGGTTGAGTAGGTTGGCGGTTTGGCGGTCTAGAGTTTGGATCTTTGGATGAAGTCACATGATCAGCCCACACCAGGGTTGAGCAGAAATGGCTGTGAAGAGACCTGGCGCGATGTACCTGATCCATTAAGGTGAAACATACAGTCTCCTAAAACATATATAGTCTCCTAAGCCAACATTTAAAAAAGAAGAAACTTCAATAATCACCTAGCAAAGGAGCATCTTCTGAAGAGAGGTAGCGGAAGACTAAACCACTCACCCAAACATTTTCCTGCTTCGGGATGAGTGAGAGTCGCACTTAACAGTGAACACAGGAGAGTGGTCTAGACACATCTAGGCTCTCAATTCATAAACTTCCCCTATATTAAACGTGCTTAACAAATCCATGATTCTTTGTTTTAATGAATCTCAAGAGTTCACCACAGAAGAAGGGACCGTCCGTGAGACCTCCCAACCTACCCCTTGGACCCTTTTTTTCGTCACCGGTGACCCGTTGTGTCGGATCGGACGACAGCTGAGGCCATCGAAAATGGGCTTGGATGTCATGGCACCTTGGTTCCGTCGTGGGAGTTCGAGGTGTTTCGTGACAAATGACATGGATCGGTGAGAACAAGGTGAGACAAACATGGGGTTAAATGATGTTCAATTTAATGTGTGTGTGTTTTTGTTGTGATATCATTGTGTTGTTTAGTTTCCCGGTTCTTTTTCACGGCAAAAACAATTCCCGTGGGACTTAAGAATCCAATTAGAGGCACCTTGATGAATAAACTTGCTGCCGGGGCTTCAGCTTGGAACTGTTTGGTCAATGATTTACAGCACTCAGAAACTCCACACGTTGGCACGTAATAATCTATACGCAGGGGAGCTTTAAACAGTGAATATACTGTATTATGTTTTGAGTAAGAAGTAGAGACAGACGAGTTGCTGTTTTTATTGAACCGCCTGAACTTGTTTACAGACTTCTTGGGAGGTTGATTGGGCGTGTTGTGAAGCACAGCCAAGTGGCGCTCATGTTCTTTGGCACGAACAAACATCCGCTCATGGTTGATGCAGCGGAAAGACTAGCAATGCCGTCCTAGTTCTTAGTTTGAAAAACAATCCAAAGACATAGTCCAGTGCAATCTTTTGTGTCTGTGTCGTTGATTGGGACTATTCAAAGTCTATCAGCCTAAAACATATCTCAACTAATCAGTCAGTCTGAAAATAGTTGGGGATTCCCTTCCATGCACCACTGTTGAAGGTAAACCACATGTTGTGGCACCTGAGATTGGCCCACTGCCACAATGTTCAGCACGACATAGGAGTTTATTTGGTTGGAGAAATCCTGCATTACGCCAACCCCAACCCCCGCACCGCCACATCGTCTCCCAGGGCGGCTACCGCAGGGACTCCGCGGTGCACTTGGGCGACCTGCCCGGAGGCGACGTGGAAGGGTGGAGGGTTTCGGAGGGTTGGATGAAGGTGAAGGTGGATGACGATTTTGGCCACTTCAAAAACCAGGCCAGGCAAGTGAAGGTAAGGTCGCTGAAGGTCACTGAATGTCAAGCAAGGTCACTCGGATGGAGAGTCACATGCTGATACGGCGGTGACTTGCTTGATGTTTGCTTCATCGTGTCATTCCTCTCAATTGGTTAGTAATACCGTCGAGTTGATAAAATTTTGCGTGGCCGATTGTGGCGGTATCATGGACAGAAATGTTTTGGACTTTGGTTGATTCAGGGCAACATTCTTGATTTCGGAGGTAGTTGGACTTTCACTCACTTACAGCATGTTTGCTTTCAAGACGAGAGGGCCCTTAGCAAACTTCCCCATATAGAATCTAGAACATGTATAGATGAAAACCGGACACACACGAGGTGGGACACTCAGTCAGAATCGTGGCACACTCTGCCAGATACTCCTGAATGCTGCGAACCTCATGTGGGCAGCCTCAGCAGCGCGGTTTTCTGTGGGGTGGGGCAGTTGTCAGGCAGTGGAAGTGGTCATGTGTTACACAGTCGCCGAAACGGCAGTGGGGGGACGTATGTGTAACACATAGTCCAGTGGAAGTGGCAGTGGATGTGGTCGAAACGTCCCCCCCACACCGTCGCCGCGTGGTCGTCGATCCCAGGAGCCCACGCCACACAACTCGAGTATTGCAGGCCAGGGGAGGGAGCGGCTAGGGAGTGGTGTGTGCATGTTCCATTCGTGGGGACCAGATGCGGAGGACCATAGTTAGTTGGATCAGTGTGGTGTCTTTTTTGGGTCATTGGTTCAACTCGCCAGTGACAATCGAAAGTAGGAGAAATTGACAACGGCGCTTTACCCGGAGCATCCTGGTAAGCGACATGCTGAACAGGTCCATTAAGAAGTGCAAGGCTGTGTATCGACATGCAGATTGAATATCGCTACCCCTTTAACCATGAAAACAGGGTGGGGGGG